TTAGGAATCCTAGACCTATATATCTATTGGGAAAAAATAAAGTAGGCCTTTATTATTCAGATTATGATTAGGATTCCTGATTCTATAAATAGGGGATTAGAAAGCAATTAGAACCCTTACCACCCATAGTTATATCACGCGAAAATATTCTCGTGAGATTCCCCACCACCAAGCCTAGGGAGATCAATCGGATGGGAAATCTTAAAGAAGAACCTTAATAGCCAAGGGAGGATTAATTAAGGCTAAGAGGTAACCCATGTCTCAACAAAACCTATTTTCCTTGCTATGATCTCCTTCTTTGGCTCCCTCTATATACTTGTGTCTTGATGGATTTCTTTATGATATTTGTGATATAATCTTGATTGATTGATGTGATGATTTTATGAGGGATCTTGATGATCTTGATATTGAAAAAGAGATTCTTGATATTTATGTGATGATTCTTGATAAATCTTGATGGTTCTTAATAATGAAAATAAAATATGATTTTGATGATTTGGGTGGGATTAGAGCCCTAGGTTGAATTGGGAATTGGTATTGTGATGTTCTTGATTTATATTTGGGTGGAAATTTGCATGTTCGGGTGTTGATCGTGTCTAGAAGTCCTGTTAGGATATGTTCAATATGATTCATGCTTTCGATCCATTAAATGCCTATGTGGTGTCGTTAATTGCGTTTAAAAGTGTCTAAGCATGGTTTCGGGTTCCACAAAGGATCCCGGGATGCGTATTTGATAAAAGAGTCAGTGGGGGATAGGTGGGGGTAGGGGTACCCGCCACCTAGCCGCTGCCCAAAGTGAGACCGCCAGGCACTCACTGCCCGGAAGTTGTCGCTGGCGGGCAGCCGGTGGGTGGCCCTCCACCGACCGGCTACCCACTGGTTTGTCACCCACCCGGGTCTTTGTCTTCCCCGTTTGATATTCCCCATTCCCAGTGGCGTCCCAACGGACCCCATTTATCGTGCTTGAGTCTAGTTTGATGTTTCGGGTGCCGTTCGTAGGATAAAAGAGTATACGAATTGCATGCTAGTCGAATCGGTAACCCGTTGGCCTAGGTGGAAGTCGTATGAACCCCTTAGGACTTTTCTTAGTCTGTGAATGATCACACGTAAGCTTATTTATATGCCTCCACCTTCCCAACATGCTATTATGTGCTATTATGTGCTATGTGATGCATGATTCCCCAATTTCGTTGCGATCAAATTGGCTATATGGGAAGTTGGATGGGTTGTGAACCATCCCAACTGTTAACCAGGCCGGTTGCGATCGTTCAGGTATATAAATATTATATAGGGCAGTGGTCCACTCTTTGGTTACTTATGAGCTACGGTTCATTCCCCTGGCTGTGGTCAGTGATTCACTTCTTGGGCTGCGGTCCACATGGGCCTCGGGTGCTATGACCCACCGACCTGGACGCGCCAGGTGGTGTGTAGGGCCAATAAGCCCGAGGAAGGTTGTAGTCCACCGACCTGAGTAATCAGGCGGTGTGTAGTGCTACGGCTGGCTGCGATCCACCGAGTGATGGGCCAGCGGTGTGTAGGGTCGTAGTCTCCGAGGATCATCGCCCACCGACTGAGTACCTCAGCGGTGTGTAGGGCTTGATCCGCTATGACCCACCGACTGTGCCCGTCAACGGTGTGTAGGATTGTAAGTCCCCCCATGTAAAGTGTATCACAGTCCACCGACTGAGCGCGTCAGCGGTGTGTAGGACTATGATCTGCCGCTGAGTTCGTCAGCGGTCTATAGGGTTGCTGTAACACCCCAGATTTTCAAGACATTTTAAGCTTATATAATAAAGGTAATATCTCATTACATCCCAAAGTATATCATAAGTGTACGGGGTGCTATGCCACACCTGGGCTAGAGAACCCAGGTGCACAGGCTGTCTAACTAATATCCATTGAAACACAATGCATAATATGGCACGCAGGACGAAAGGGAAACTACTCTACTTCTACGCTCCAGTTCTAGCGCGCTCCAGTGCTCTAGTCCTCTGTGCCTGAAAGCCAAATATATCTGTTCAGCGAGAGATGCTGGTAACCCACTCCAACGCGTTGAAATACAATACATATAGAGATATATACAGATATACGAAAAACCATTATAAGCATGAAGATATATCCTACGAACTCTAGCTTTTAAAACCGGGAATGACTCGACAGATAAGGCTAGACACGAGCAACAGTTATAACGAGCATAAGCAGTTCACAACAAATAAGGCAGATAAGGCAAAGCATAAACAATAATCATAACCCAACATGAACAATCCCCAATGAAAATCCCTTAGTCACATCCCCCAAGACACTCATAATCACAACTCATCCATATCACAACACATAACACACTTTGTTGGCGCCACAGGACCAATCGCATGCCCATACATGAGGGTCAGCGCATATAGCTCTGACACGGCCCCGCAGCACCATGCCCGTATCGCAACACGGGGAGGTCGATCGCAACCGACCGATGAACCGCAGCTCATCATAATGTTTGATCGCAAACAAAACAGTGGACCGCAGCCCAAGAGAGTGTCATCTGACCGCAGCGAGGATAAAGGACGAACCGCAGCTCGTATAGAAACGTTTGATCGCAACCAAACGGTGGACCTCAGCCCAAGAGAATGTCATCTGACCGCAGCCAGGAATACCAATCTGACCGCAGCCAGCTTCTGAACCGCAGCTCAGGATAACAAATCCGATCGCAACCGAATTGGGGTAGCACACACACATAACACATAGCAAGCACATGCAACCCACATTACACATTAGGAAGGGGGAGAAAACGTATAACAAAACCTATGCGTGATCCATCGCATACTGAGAATAGTCCTAAGGGATTCATGCTTCTACCACCTAGGTCAACGGGATACGAATTCAACTAGCATGCAATATAATAGACTCATAAACCTACGAACGGTACCTGAAACATCAAACTAGACATAGGCACGATAAACGGGGTCCGTTGGGACACCACGGGGATCGGGGAAACATCAAACGGGGAAGCCGGGAGCCCGAGGTAGTGTAATTTCCAGCGGGTAGCCGGTGGGTGGGGGTCCACCCGCCGGCTGCCACTGTTCCGGGCAGCGGGTGCCCGGCGGGCAGCTGCCCGCCCGCCGGCTGCCCGCTGCCGGAGCTGCCCGAGAATGCCACGGGTAGGTGGCGGGTCCCCTACCCCCACCTACCCCCCACTGACTCTTTTCATCACTTTTCGCCCCGGGAACCGTTGTGGAACCCGAAACCATACTTAGACACTTTACAACGCAATTAACGACAACACGTAGATAATTAACGAATCGAATACAAGAAACGAACGGCACATAACCTATCATGCTTTTCTAAATATAATCAACACCCAAACATGCGATTTCCCCACCCGATAATCTAAGAATAAGATCATACGATACAACCTACGGTTCTAATCACTTTTATATCAACAAGAATACGGTTCGTCTTCTAATTGCAAGATTCGGTAAGAATAACACATAAACATCAAGAGCATCACACAATTATCAAGAACAACACATAATCATCAAGAACTCCATATAATCATCAAGAATCTCCCAATATCAAGATTATCAAGATCCCCCATGAGATCATCATATCACATCAATTACCAATAATAATCATCATAACTCGCCAATATGCAATAATATGGGGAAACCCTAAGGGGGAATTATAACTATGAAAATAGGTTTGTTGAGACATGGGTTACCTCTTAGCCTTAATTAGTTCCTTGGCTATGAAGGGTCTTTCTTTAAGCTTTCTTGCTTTCTTCTAAGGGAATTCTTGGAGCTCTCTTGGGGAGGTGGGGCGTTTAGGCGTGTGGGAAGTTCTAGGTGTCTCCTAAGTCCCTTATTTATATATTTAGGAGTCCTAATTAGGAACTAATACTATAGGCTTGCTAATTCTATTTCTCTCGGAACTAAGGATTGGGTTTAGGGGTTGGGTTTATATATGAGGGCCCATGGACTATGGTGGGCCTTTTTCCCTAATTGATCATTATGATTTATTCCTTCTCTTGGGTTTATTGATTGATTAATTAAATGGTTTTAGGGGCCGTAACACGGGGTGTTACAGTTGCTTGCGATTAGCTCCCTTCATTCTGCGGTATGAGATAGGGTGCTACGGGGCCGTGTTAGTGCTATATGCACTAACCCTCATGTTCGGGGCATGTGATTGGTCCCGTGGCGCCACCACAGTGTGATTGTGTGTCACAAATGATGATTGGATGATGATATGATTGATCTGAAAGTAACCTGTGACCTTAGTTGCGTATTCTTTATGATGGTTGTTTCTACTTAATTGTTATCATTGATTATTGTGTTTGCCCCTATTTGCTGAGTCTATTCCTGGTTTTAAAGCTAGAGTCTCTTAAGTATATATCTGCCTGCTTCAAAATGGTTTTCATATATATATATATATATATATATATATATATATATATATATATATATATATATATATATATATATATATATATATATATATATATATATATATATATCTATATTGTATTTCAACGCGTTAGAGTGGGTTACCAGCATCAATCGCTGAGCAGATATATTTGGCTTTCAGGCACAGATGAGTAGACCCCGGAGTGCGCTAGAGATCCGAAGCGTAGATTAGTTAGTTTCCCTTTCGGCCTGCGTGCCATGATTATGTATTGCATTGAGGATAGTTAGTTAGTTAGCCTGTGCATCTGGGTTCTCCAGCTCAGATGTGGCATAGCACCCCGCACTCTTATGTTTGATTTTTGGATTTAATGAGAATTCACCTTTATTATATAAGCTTTAAAAGTTTTAAAATTTCGGGGTGTTACACTTGTTCTGATATTTCTCCTTCCTTTGGTCTCTGTAAAAAGATATAATACTCAGGTCGAGTGTGGCCTTTTGTTCGACATACAGCAGTGACAAATGGGTGTATATTGTCTGATTTTAGCAAATTTAGCTTTGAACTTTGAATACTGAGATTGAAATGCCACTCTGCCAAAATCAGTTTCTGCATGTGTCTTCCCTTTTTCCTTTATCTGGACTGACCTGGATGACTGTCCTATTTCATACCTGCGAGCTGATGTATCAATTGATGTACCCTCTTTGACAAACGCAGGAATAGTTTTCGAAGATTCTCCTCGTTTATAACCAAGACCCTTTTTGTCATTTTGATTTCGTCCAGAATCCAGAATTTTGTCTAGAGTTGATGTGGTGTCCATCATCTTTATGTTTTTCTTCAAATCCTCCAACTCTTTTATCAGTTTTCGTTCTCGAGATCTTATCTGAGTTATAAGATCTTCTTTTGTGACAAGTGTTGTGTTCAGTTTCTTCAGAAAATCATCCCGTTGTTTTAGATCTTCATTCAGATTTTTATTAACTTTCACCAGTTGCTCCCAGCTTGCAACAAGTTTAGCAAATTCCATCTCAAGTTGGGTATGCCTCTCTTCAAAGTCAACTGTCAAAATATACGACTCTTCATCAGATTCTTTTCCTTCGGACTGGTTTTCTATAGCTGAAAAGAAAGCCACAAAGTTTCTCACGTTGTCATCTGACTGACCATTAGATGCTTCTTCCTCATCATCACTTAGTGTAGCCACAATCATAGCCTCTTTCCTTTTGAGATAAGTTGCACATTCAGCCAGTATGTGTCCAAATCCTTCACACTCTCGGCACTGCACTGACCGGTTGAGGGACCTGCCTGTGTCAGTTGAACTGCTTCGGGGTTGTCTTGGTCGACCAGTTTGAGACTGATAGTTCTGTGTGAAAGAGGGTGTGTCTGTTTTCTGATACGAGGAGTTACTACCTTTGTATTGTGTCTTGTTAGATTGTCCTTGACTCCGTTTATTAAATTCTTTCAAGATCTTCTTAAAGTTCTTGGTTAGTAGGGCCAAAGCTTCATCATCTATGTCATCTGTGTCTGATGAGCAACAAACGCCACTGACTTGCCTTTTCTGTTGACAGCAAGATCATCATCAGTCAACACTTCAAGTTCATATGTGTGTAAGCTTCCCATAAGCTCTCCCACACTCTTTTTTTTCCCAGCCTGTGTGTTCCTGAATTGCGGTTACTTTCATTCGAATCGTTTTAGCAAAGATCGAAGGATCTTTTTGACTACTCTTTCATCAGTGAATGGTTCGCCGAGTATTAAGGCTCTGTTCATCAGATTCTGAACACGACTGTGAAAGACAGAGATTGTTTCCTCTTCGTTCATTCTAAGAGCTTCAAACTCAGGCAGGACCATTTGAAGCTTTGATTGCTTGACATCACTTGTACCCTCATGCCTGGTTTCAAGAATTTTCCATACTCGTTTTGCTTCCTTTACCCAGTGACTAAGGTAAACATAGATTCGTGCAAAGATCCTACAATAGAGTTCAGTGCTTTATTGTTCAGGTCAGAGGCCGTCATCTCATTTTCCGTCCACGTCTCAATAGGTTTTGTCGTAGTGGTTCCATCAGGGTTCTGAATAGTTGGATGGCTCCATCCAGAGAGAATAGTACGATAAACCCTGGTACCTTGTGCCTGGAGATAGATCTCCATACGAGCTTTCCAGAATGAATAGTTGTGACCATCCAATTCTGGTGGTTTCATGCTTGCATCCATCCTGAATAAAAACAACTAGCCAAAAACACACAAGCAGGCAGACTACCAACCAGAGATACTTCCAATAAAAAGAGAGCAATGCAAAAGCAACAACTTCCCGTACGGATCAAGTCACTATGTAGACTTAAAAGCTCTGATACCACATGTAATTTTGCATTTTCTCAATTTAAAGATATTAATTAAACGACTTATGAATTAGTTTGACAGATTCAGCGATGATATCAGTCAGATAGTTGAAACACTAATTCGCTTGCAGAAAGGATAAAGTAATGCAGTCAGCGAAAAGATTAACACACAAGATGTTTACCCAGTTCGATACAGTGTGTATCTACATCTGGGGGATGATCACATAGGCGTCCAATCCACTAACAGATAATCCAATGTACAAAGGTAGAGAACAATAATATTACCCAAGTGCCCCACACAAGGTACTTACCCAGTCTACACTGATTTAGTGGATTGTTGAAGATGGAGAGCCGAGCATACAGAAGTCCAATGAAATCCCTTCACTTGGAGAGCTAACTCTGATGCAGTCCACTTCAATGATGCAGTCCAATGTTATTCCCACAACTGTGTGATCTTTGTGTCCTTTTCGTTTAAGCAACGATATCTCTTCTCAAGTTCTTCATCATAATCAACAAGAACAAATTGTCTTGAGAAGAGTCATGATAATCAAAGATGTGATCTCTTGGTATATCCCGGAGTGTTTCTTTCTTCTGAAAAGCGTAACCCTAATTCTTGATCGAATAAGAGTACTTATAGTTCCATAATAAGAACACTCTCCTTAGATATCTCTGATTGTAGATGGTAGGACAATATAAGAAGAATGTAATCTTAAAGATCCGGTCCATACCTTTCCAAAATAGATACGCTGATCTTCTTTCCAAAACTGACTTCTTAATCCGCGTTCTGCAAAAAGGAAACATCTTCGTAAAACAGATCTTCAGTGTCAGTCCCTCTATTGCTGTATCTGATCAATCAGTCCTCTGTAGAACAAACTGACACCAAGCTAACCCTATCTTAGTTTTCCATAATAATATTGCCAATTATATGTTGGGGGTTTTTTGAGCAATTAAAATATTAACAGCTTCGTCCTCGCATGAAACACGGGATTAGCACAAAGATATGTCGCACCAAGATTATCACACCACAAGCGCGGCGTAGCACCAGAAAGAAAACCAATCTCTCGTAACAATGACACAAGTAACCTCCGCCCGAAACATCTGCAAGGGCCTTGTACTCAGCGTCAATAGTTGTGACAGACCCACGACACCAAATTCAAACCACAATACACTGCAAAACCATGGGCAGACTTCCTATCAACAGAACAACCAGCCTAGTCCGAATCTGAGAAGGCATGAAGATCAGTAGATGAAGAAGCAACCAACCATAGCCCAAAGTCTATCGTAGCCTTGAAATAACGCAAGACACGCTTCAGAAGCTCCCAATGACCAATTGTAGGAGAGTGCGTGCATGAACTGACAGAGACGATTTACCGCATAAGATAAATCTGGTTGGGTAATAGTAAGATACTGCAAGGCACCTACTAGACTGCGATACTGAGTAGGATTTTCATACAGCTCATCAGAAGACTCAGCCCGAGAAACCGAGGCCGGAGTAGCAAGCGGTTTACAATTAGACATGCCAGCCTGCTTCAGAATGTCTCCCATGTACCTGCGTTGAGAAAGAACCACCCCCCGTCAACAAGAACAGTCTCGATACCAAGAAAAGACCGAGGATACCCCAAGTCACGGATCTTAAACGAAGACAAGAGCCGACCAAGCAAAGTATCCAGTATAATAATATCATTACTCATCAAAATTATTTCATCAACATAAACAAATAAAAACACCATGGAGTCCCCGACCGACTCCACCGAATAGTAAAACAATGAAACATCAGTTTTAGAAGACTAGAAACCCACAAAAATAAGAAAGTCATGCAACCGTTTGAACCAATCTACTAATCTTCCCGACAACGGCGCAAAAAATTTGATGCTAGTGGTTATAACACCAAATAATAAGTTAAAATTTTAAAAGTCTATTCAAGACCAACCCTTTTAGACTTTTACCTCCCCGGGACAAACATGATCAAAATATGAATGAATATCATAAGCATTGTCTTTTGTCAAGATAATTTGTGTAGCTAAAAGAATAAAAAACAATTGGATTTCACGTATATATATTTTATAACTTATAAGATAATATGATTAATATATGGTCATGAATATATTTTCTATTTTCGAATGAAAAACTTGGCGTGATGGGAGCCGGACGGAAGCGAGGCAAGGTGAACGGAGGTTAGCCGGACGGCGAGGCGTGGCGAACAGAGGCGAGGCACCCAGACGGAGGAGGTTTTTTTTTTTGTTTTTTTTTTTTTTTGTCGTGAATGAAAGCATCATATTTGAATTGCGATTTGGGGATTTTTTTAGTGATTTTCCGCGGCACCCTCAGGGGTGGGAGCCGCAGAATGTTATATTATTATTATAATGTATAACTTCCGCGGCACCCTGTCAGGGAGGGGTGCCGCAGAAAGTTTTATTATTATAATAATTATAATAATAATAATAATAATAATAATAATAATAATAATAATAATAATAAAAATAATAATAATAATAATAATAAAAAACGTTTCGCATCACGCTAACCAAGAGGGTGTCGCGGAACGTTTTGTTATTATTAATTACACTACAAGAAATTTCACATTTAGTGACAACAGAAGTTGTCACCGAAACTATCCATTTTGGTCACTATTGAAATTAGTGACCAATTTTTGAAGTCGTCACCTGTCGTCACTATATCCTCCGTCACTATTGTAGTAGTGACGAGTTTTGAAAAGTTGTCACAATTACTCACTATTTTTGTGACAATGTTTGCTTACACTAAAAGTAGTATTTGAGTGATAACGATAGTTGTCACAATAAATGTATAATTTGAGACCAAATATGTTATTACAAAAAATTGATCTAGTGACAAGTAAAATCGGTGCAATTAATTATTTTATTGTGACAACACTTTAGTCACAATCGTTATACTTATTTGTGAGAATTGTTCTTGACGCAAAAATCATTATCAGTGACCAAAAAAGTGGTATCAATAATTACTTTGTTGTGACCATTACTTGGTCACAATTCCTTTTCGAAATAATACTAGCCAAATACACAAAATATAAAATTATTTATTTCAAAATTTTGTCATAATTAAATGTTTTAATTTAATTATTATTTGAAATAAAATGATTCATTCAACAAATGTTACTCGTCAAATTAAAAAATATATATATAAAAAGACAACATTGTCTAACAAATATACTTTGTAAGAAATACAACTGAATTCAAATAAAAGCGTTTTAAAATAAAATGTCTTGATTATTCTTCACTTCAGGTGGTTGATAGAGATGCATTGCGTAGCATATTTTGAAGCCCTTGATTGCTTGCTAAGTGAGCAAAATTTCTCTAAAGCTGCTTGTGCGATTTCTTTAAATTTTGTAACTTCTTCTTCTAAATTCTTTTCACGCTTCTTTAATTTGGAACTCGCTTCTATTTCTGCTTGAAGAAGAATCTTCTCCTGGACTTTTGAAGTTATCCCCTTAAAACCTAAACCACGTGCATAGCTTGACTTTCTTTTTAATATCAAATCAAAATGCTAAACAAGTGGTAGAGGTGCAGCTGAAATCTCTTCTTTATTCTTCTTTCCCTCTTCTTGAAATTTATTCTGCAATTAAGATAAATATTAATATTGAGTAAATTAATTTAAGGAAGGTCACAACAGGAAATATATATACTTTTATTATAAATATAAATGTAAAATACAGTAGTTAACATATATATATATATATATATATATATATATATATATATATATATATATATATTAATTATGTACTTTGTTTTTGTACGGCACTTATATTTATATATATTATATTTTGTTTTATTTTTTTTTTATTTTTATCTTTTGTATAAAAGAGGTAATAAATTTACAAGGAAATTATATATATATATATATATATATATATATATATATATATATATATAAATATAAATACGATAATAATAAAATGTTTTTTTATATACAAAATACATACGAAAGTATATATGTGTGTAAGTACAGAACATATAATAAAACATTACACTCATTCTTTTTAGCATAATACATGTTCAATACTAAAAAATTATATATTTCAACTATTATGAATATAATTTATCTAGATATGATTCATACAACAAAATCAACTAACCAAAATCTCATATTTATGAATTTTTGACTAATACATCATACCAAAATTTTGAGATAACACTTGGTCATTTCATAAAATAATTCATTTGATTCATAAATTTTAACCAAACAAAAATTCATTTAACAATAAAAAAAAAAAAAAAAAAACACAGATGGGCAAAGTAAGATAAAGGACAATCACTTACTTGAAACAAATTCTTCCAAAATCTTTTTAATCTTTTAATTCTCTAAGTTCTCCTCCTTAGGCCTGTGTAGTTTGTTTCAACTCTTGAGAAGAATAGGAGAAGAATTTCTTTTCTTTTCTTTTTTTTTTTTAGAATTTCATAAATGAAGAGATGGGAAGAAGAGAGGATTTTTTTTTTTCTTTTGTTAGTAGAATCGGCCAAGGTAGGAAAAAATGTAAAAGAGAATATCTATATTGATCATCATCCAACCCTAGTCAACTTAATAATTAATGGAAAGAATAATTTTAACCAATTACCTAAAGATTTCTATAATATAAAAGCATACAATATATATCTATTAAGGTAATTACAACTAAAATATATATTTTTTTATTTAACAACACACTTACACACGTATATATTAGGTAATTATGTGTGTGTGGCGTGTAGTATCTATATAATTACTACACGTCACACACACATAATTACCTATATATATATATATATATATATATATATATATATATATATATATATATATATATATATTACTTACATACAAATAATATATGTAATACACATATAATACATAAGTATATAAAATGTACATATATAATTATATGACCCAAAATGATATGTACACACTTTATATTAAAATAATTATTTTGTATTTCAAAATATTACCCACATATTTATATTCAAACATTATAATTATACATACTTTATTCTGTATTTATTTATAACAATAATAATAGGTTAAGGATAATGTGATTTTAATTTTTTTTAAGGCTTGAGTATAAAAGAAATGAATGATCAATCGGAAAAAGAAGAATTTAGAAGGGCTAAAAAAATCTGGTTTCACATTTATCATTCAAGGTTCTAATTTGGAAGATATATAATAATGATGTTATGGTATTGGATAGGCCTGATTTGGATGCTGCAACTATTGAAGTAAGCTCATCAAATGTTCATTCCATGAGCATTGAAGAAGATGAAATTGATAGTGATGGAGATGCTTTAATTTTATTAATGATGATGATGAGATTCCAACATCCGAAGATGAGGAAGGTGGTGATGATGATGATGATAATTGAGTACTATATGAATTTGTATTTATAACTTTTGAATTCTTTACTTTTTATATTTTGAGTTTAAAGTTTTTTTAAAAAAATATTTTGAGTTTGAATGGTTAATTTTAATAAATCTTTTTGAAATATATTGTTGGTACTAAACATATACATGTATATTTTTTTTTTAAAAAAAATTAATATGAAAAATTAGTAAAATAAGTAATAGTGAACTTATCTGTCACATATGATTATAAAATGTATTTTTACAATTACATTTATTTCACACAATATCCATCTTTTTAACTATAGTGGTGAAGTCATTCTAACAATTAATTACTCGTCACAATTATAATAAACTAGTGACAAAAAAAGAAATCAACACAATTATTGTCACAATTCAATAATTTTTGTTATGGAATTATAGATCATCACAAATATTTGTAACAATTTCATCACAAAAAATGACAATATTAGTGACAACAATATTTCTTCTCACAATTGTTTGTCATTTCTAATGGTACAAATCAATTGTATTTTTATTGACAAAAAACGTTGTCACGAATATTATCAACAATAGTGACCAACAATTATTTGTCACAAAAAGTACAAAAATTTGTGTCAACATTGTTTTGGGAGTTGCTAGGCCCTGGTCTCTCTGAGTTGGGTCATTTTGATTACTGAAATTTGTGAATGAAAAGGGATATGAACTTTGATCTTTTATATTTATGTATTATGAGAGGATTTTCTGCAACTCAAATTTTTACCCAGGTTTTTTTAAAAGAAATAGGACAGCTTATTTTATTATTAATTGAACTAGAAATAAAAAACAAAACAACATAAAAACATATAGATGCATTAGGCTAGGCTATTCCAATATAATGCATCAATTTCAATAACAAACAAAAGCACTTGCATTAAGAGTAGTTATGAACACTGAGAAGTTTGCAGAAACGACTTAAGAATTTTGTTGGGAAGTGCTAGGCCCTTGATAGCTTTGCCCTGAAAACACATCTGCTGGAGCAACAACTGAAGGAGGAGCCAGAGTTGGGAAATCTCTTACCAATCTCATAACACTTTCAGCGATATTCGTGTTTAAATCTACGGAACTCAGATAATCAAATATCTGTTCTCCGCGAAAAATCTGATGCATCACTGCATTCATTTCCTTCTCCCTGTTCTCTTGCTTCAATTTTAGAAGTTGAGTACCAAACTTTTCAAGCCTTTGTGCAACAAAGCTGTCCTGGCTCATCATTTGACGTGTTTGTTGCACGTCCGGCAACTGCATGAACCTAGCAATCAGCTCTTGAACCCTTTCAACAGTAGGCCATATCACTGGCCCCTGCTCAAACGAGCTATACATTATCATGGCAGTATCCGCACTGCAAAGAATGGTGAGCTCATTAAGCTTTTTGATCACCCCTTTCTTTCTGTTTTGGTAGGATGCTTTTCTTTTCAATTGATTCACAATATATGCCAATCTTAATCTCCTTATTGCCATGATATATATAGATTGATTGGAAATGAGAAAAGAAGAAGAAGCTATTATAAGTGCTCAAGATCGATTTGTGATTTTTTATTCTTTATTGATCTTGTGTATGTGGGTGATTATACATGCTGAGATGATATGGTATTTATACGGCCACATATATGAGCAAAACTCGATAAATATTTGACTAATGAATGAATTGTATTCTTTTTACAGTAATTTTATACCCTGCCACGAATATTTTTTCCTAATATACATTATATAACTTATTATGGTTATTTTATTGAATTTTTACTTTTTAATGATTAGGAGATCGAGTTCTATATTAAGAGTGATGCATGCTATGTTCTCATTTTAAATTTACTCCTTAATATTATCATCTTGACGTGTAATTACTTATTTTCAATTTTTTTATACTTGGTTATTATTAAATGTATTCCTTTTATGACATGTGGTAGCTACACTACTGGAAATTCTGAAATTTCTGACTACCTGATAGTGATCTTAAATCAAGTTGAAAGTCTTGTTCCGACCACTTTTGGTATCCGGAAAAACCTTTGTTGCTATTTCTGACCACTTTTTGGACTTTTTGGTATCAACTTAATTTAAGATCATTTTCAGGTGGTCGGAAATTTCAGAATTTCCAGTAGTGCTAGGTCAATTCTTGACAAATAATAAATATAAATATTTTAATGCAATATTTGGATTTAAACATTAGAATATAAATTTGGAAGCTAAAAAAAAACATATTTATTTCTTTGATTAATTTCTTATGAGGTTGGGCGATTCATGGGAAACAATGAAAATAAGGAATATCCCTTTATGTTATTATCTTCTTACTAATAGTAGAATAGAATATCACACAAAGGGATATATTGAATTGTAATTGCCTAAAATTATTATTTTTTAAAATTGTTGCTATTAGGTCAAATTTGTTTGTCTTTAGTTATATTCATTGCTTTTTGAATGAGTTTTCCATATTAAACAGAAAAAAAAAGAAAGATAATTACTCTACAAAATATAATTGCCTTTTCAGTTTAATTGTGTAATTATATTGTTTTATTTTTTTTGTTGTATAAGTTAATTTGAAAATGTTATAAGAGATATGAAGAAAATTGGATATGTTTTTAACAGATAATTTAGATTATATTTTTTTTACAGTAATTTTACACCTTGTTACCAAAATTTTATATAATATTATTTATATTATTTATTATTGTTATTTTATTGATTGTATTTTCTATTTAATTATAAAGTGATTTCTTTACTTACCGTTATCCAATAATCCCTCTTTAATATACTTCATAATATTAACATCTTTACGTTACACAACTTTATTAGTCTTTTTCTTTATTAGTCTTTTTTCGGTAGTTGGTAATTTAGTGTATTCCATTCATAGCATGTCATAGGTAACCCAATTCATGAAAAAATTAATGCTTAGGCACATGTAAGTTTTGTTAGTGGAAGAATGTGCATGGAGATAGGTGAGATGAAAACTTGTAAGCTTATTTATAATTTTATATATTTTAATTTAAAAATTCTTTACGATATTATTTCCGGGTATTAACATCGACAAATCTACAAATATAATAAGAGTCACTAAAGTTAGGCCCTTAAAGGGAGCAAATTAAAAAAATATTGGTGTCATTGTTGGTTGAAATGAATGGTTCATATTATTTGATTTTAGTATTTTTTTAATGATTTTCCTTATTTAACATCTATTATATTATTTTCTTGTCTTAAATAACACATTCTGTTAGTACGAACTTAAGAAACGGAATATTCCGTTAACTATTTGTTATTATATAACATACTCATTAATTTCTATAACAAATTAAAGGTCTTAGGTTAAAACTTCTATCACAATCATAATTAGCATAATTGTTAAACATATACTACGGATTAGTCGAGATTTTTCACAAATTTTAGGAACAATAACTCTTATTTTCATATTTCCAATTCCTTACCTTCATTTGAAATCTAACTTTTTAAAAAAATGTTTCTTGATATTTTGCGTCTCGAATTATATTTCCATGAAAGACATGTTTGTTAAAGTTGAAAAACGAATGTTTTCCGAATTTAACTTATTGGCGGTATCTATATAAACCTACCTATAAATAAACATGGAACATACTATTTGGAAGCGATTCATAATGAAACCCTTAGGAATTCATTTTTGTTCTTTCATCCCAAGTATGGTAAGTGATCTTGAAGTATCAGCTAATGGAGGTAGAACGATATTCAATAACTCCCCCATATTTTTTCCTTTTCAAAATTTTACAAATAAGAAGTTTTTGATCCAATTTTTATATTCTATTCAAAATATTACCATATATATATATATATATATATATATATATATATATATATATATATATATAACACAAAATTTCTCCCCTGATTCTTTCTAGTTGAGCCTCTCGGTCTGTCATTATACCTCGCGAAGAAGAAAGAATTACAACTCCCATCCCACAAAAATTTCAGGGATTTGTTGATAGTTAGAATAGATTGGTAAACCGGGTCGACTGATCCATTTTAAATTGAAAATATTTCTATAGGGTGTTTTTATATTCCTTCTATGTCGCAGGGTTAAAATAATTTTTTTTTGTTTTTTTTTTCTCGATGCTTTCTCACCTTTTCAATAAAATCTTCTCGTAAAAGTTTTCCTACAATATTTATGGTAATATTGGTGGATGTTATTCGAGTCACTCTATTTCGATCCATATTAGCATTTCGTATAGAAGTGATTATCTTAGTAATAGTGTCCCTTACCATGATGAACTATAATTATTTTGGCAAAAAAATTGGATACTATTAACGTGTTTTTTTTTTTTTTTTTACTTATTTGTCTATGAATTCTATTTTTCAAGAAAGTTATATGCCTGAGACACATTCTATTCAATTTTGAATCTCTTTATTTCAAATACTCCCCTAGAAACATATCACAATTTACTTTTCTAATACCTTTCTTTCAAATACTCCACTAGAAACATATCACGATTTCCTTTTATAATACTTTGGAAGCTAATGAAACTATTTTAGTAAAATTGAATTGTCTCAACTCTCCGGCGATTACACCAAAAATTCTAGTTCCTTTTGGATTTCCTTCTTTATCAATAACAAATGCGGCATTGTCATCATATCGTATTATCATTCGTCTGTCACGTTTGAGTTCTTTACAGGTATACACAATTACCGCTCTGACTACTTCAGATCATTCTAGAGGCATATTAGGTACTGCTTCTTTGATAACAACAACAACAATATCACCAATATGAGCATATCGACGATTTCTAGCTCCAATGATTCGAATACACATCAATTCTCGAGCCCTGCTGTTATCCGCTACATTTAAATGGGTCTGAGGTTGAATCATATCATGTTTTTACTCTGTTTTTCACAATGCAAAGGGCTCAATGCAAAAGGATATGAACATTGATTTTTTATATTTATGTATTTTGAGAAGGATTTTGCATGTGCAACTCAAATTTATACCCAGATCTATTTTTTGTTATAAGAAATAGGACTTCTTAATTTATTATCAATTGAACTGGAAAATACAAAACAGCTTAAAATTAAAATATATTAGAATGCATGAAATCTATAAATAATGCATAAAACAGCATTAGAGAAGTTTGGAGAATCTTTAAGGTGAGGCCTATTAGGACTATATTATTCATATTAGACTAGGACTATATTATTCGTGTTAGACTAGGACTCTATCTAGCATCTCTATATATTCGCTCCATGTACTCTCAGACATTATTATTGAATACAACACAATTATATTCTCATCTGGTATCAGTTACCTAGGGTTTTCCTTTCCAACATCCATCTCCCACCTCACTTCATAGCAGTAGCCGATGGCATCAAACCAAGATACACCGTATGAGAAGCGGTCTAGTCAACGACGTGGCATTGATGATCCGTGTCAAATTTATATATATGTCTTCCCCCTCCCTATGTGTTAATGTGGGTTGCATGTGCTTGGCTATGTTTTCTGTGTGCATGATACCCCAATTGGTTGTGATCAATTGGCTATACAGGAAGTTTGATGGGTTGAGAACCATCGGCTGTTGATAATAAACTGATACAAATGCCTAGATTATTCTGTTCTGTCACATACTGACATGGGTGCACAATATATATATATATATATATATATATATATATATATATATATATATATATATATATATATATATATATATATATATATATATATATATATATACACACACACACACAGACATATGTAGATACCATTTTGAAGCCGGAAGAGATATATACTTATGAAACTCTACTTTGAAACTGAGAATAGACTCAGCAAGTAAGGGTAGGCACATTCAGTAGATATAATCACGCATATCAAGATACTAGCATATACCCTAACGTCATCCGATTATTTCACATCAAATATATCAGTATTCAATCATTATCTCAACATGCAAACACACTTTGGTGGTGCCGCAGGACCAATCGCATGCCCATACATGAGGGTCAGCGCATATAGCTCTGACACGGCTCCGAAGCACCCTGCCGTGTACCGCAGCACAAGGGGATTGATCACAACCAATCGATGAACCGCAGCTGATATAGTAACGTTTGATCGCAACCAAACGGTAGACCGCAGCCCGAATAGTAAGTGTATATCTGATCTCAACCAGATTATGGACTGCAGCCCTATATATATATATTTATATACCTGACCGATCGCAACCGGTCTGGTTAACAGCCGATGGTTCTCAACCCATCAAACTTCCTGTATAGCCAATTGATCACAACCAATTGGGGTATCATGCACACATAAAACATAGCCAAGCACATGCAACCCACATTAACACATAGGGAGGGGGAAGACACTAGAGATATGACTAAGGGGTTCATGCATCATTCACCTAGGCCAACGGGATACCAATTCGACTAGCATGCAATACACAAGACTCTTTTATCATACGAATGGTACCCGAAACATCAAACTAGACTCAGGCACGACAAACGGGGTCCAATGGGACACCACGGGACAAGAGGAAACATCAAACGGGGAAAACCACCATATTCCACACTGGGATTCCAGCGGGTGGCCGGCCGGTGGAGGGCCACCCGCCGGCGGCACAACTCAAGGCAGCGGGCAGTCGCCTGCCCGCTGCCGGGCGACCTATTGGGGCAGCGGGTAGGTGGTGGGTACCACTGCCCCCACCTACCCCCCCACTGACTCTTATGTAATAATTTGGTCCCGGGATCTTTAGTGGAACCCGAAACCATGTCCAGACACATTTAAACACAAGCGACGACACCACGTAATCAAGTAATGGATTAAAATCAAGAATCACATTAAATACATCCTAACATGACTTCTAAACATAATCAAGACTCAATACCCGAACAGGCAAAATCCCGCCCAAACATACCAGGAATATCACAATATGAAATCCACGATTTAACCCTAGGGCTCTAGTCATATTAAAATCAAGAACATCAAGATTATCAAGATCAACACATAAATATCAAGATCACATCATAAACATCAAGATTATCAAGATCACATAAATATCAAGATCATCTCATCAACATCAAGTGTTAGTGTTTTTATATGTCCAAAAACCCCATATTATAATTGGCAATATTATTATAGCATACTAAGATAGGTTTAGAGTCTGTTCGTTTGGTTCTACAACTAACTGATCAATAAGAAGCAACAACAGAAGAACTGACACTGAAGATCTGATTTAGGAAGCTGTTTCCTTAAAAGGCTCACGCGGTTTTATCAGACCAGTATGGAAAGATGATCAGCGTATATTTTCAAGAAAGGTATGGACCTAATCTTCTGAGATTACATTCCTCTTTTACAGTCCTACCTTCTACAATCAAAGTCAACTATGGAGAGTGTTTATTGAAGGATTTATAAGTACCCTTATTTGACAAGAATTAGGGTTACGCCGAAAATAAGAAGAAACACTCCATATCTGCTATATGAGACTAGAACTTTGATTGACATGCGTCTTCTCAGTACAATATGTTCATGGTGATTAAGATGATGAACTTGAGAAGAGTTACTGCTGCTTAAACGAAAGGACACTGTGATCACACTGTTGTGGGAACAACCTTATAGAGCGTCATTGAAGTGGACTGCATCAGAGCGGGCTCTCCAAGTGAAGGGATTTCATTAGACTTCTGTATGCATGGCTCTCCATCTTCAACAATCCACTAAACCTGTGTAGACTGGGTTTGTACCTTGTGTGGGGCACTTGGGTTAGATTATTGTATATCTACCTTTGTACATTGGATTATGATTTAGTGGATTGGACGCCTATGTGATCGTCCCCCAGACGTAGATACACACCGTATCGAACTGGGTAAACATTCTGTGTCTTTGGCTTTTGTGCGGTTATCTTTCCTTTATATTCTCTTCATGATTTATCGTTACTGATTGTCCCCTTAACTGAATCAATCAGTAATCTAAGTCAGTTATCTAATTCTGTCAATTTACTTAAAATGAGGAATTGCAAAATTACATGTGGTATCAGAGCTTTTAAGTCTACATAGTGACTTGATCCGAAGGGCTGTTTTAATTTTGCATTCTCTCGTTTTTTTTTTTGTGCGAGTCTGTCTGTGTGTTCGTTGGCTGGTTGTTGTATTCAGGATGGATGCAAGTATGAAACCACCAGAACTAGATGGTCACAACTACTCTTTCTAGAAGGCTCGTATGGAGATATATCTTCAAGCACAAGGTACTAGGGTTTATCGCACCATCCTAACTGGGTGGAGTCAGCCTACTACCCCAAATGCACAAGGAGTTGCTCAAGAAAAACCCATGGAGACTTGGACAGACGATGAATTGAATGCCTCTGATCTGAACAACAAAGCATTGAACTCAATTGTAGGATCACTGCATGAATCTGTTTTTACGCTTGTTACAGGAGTAAAAGAGGCTAAACGGGTAAGGGAGATTCTTGAAACCAGATTTGAAGGAACCAGTGATGTCAAACAGCCAAAGCTGCAAATGGTTCTGTTAGAATTCGAAGCACTCAGAATGATTGAAGACGAAACCATTTCGACCTTCCACAGTAGGGTTCAGAACTTGATGAACCGAGCCTCAATACTTGGGGAACCGTTCACTGATGAGAGAGTGGTCAAAAAGATCCTTAGATCTTTACCTAAACGTTTTCGAATGAAAGTAACCGCTATTCAGGAACACACAGGTTGGGAAAAGAAGACAGTCGGAGAACTCATGGGAAGTTTAAACACATACGAACTGGAAGTTCTTGCTAATGATGATATTGGAAGCAACAGGAAAGGAAAGTTGGTAGCCTTTGTGGCTGAGGCTGATCGAGAATCTGACACAGACGACATAGATGATGAAACCTTAGCTCTTCTAACCAAAAACTTCAAGAAAATCTTAAAATGTTTCAACAGAAAGGGTCAAGGTCAGCCTACCAGGACACAATACAAAGGCAACAACTCCTCATATCAAAAGGTAGAAACAACACCTTTCTCACAAAACAATCAATCTCAGACTTGGTGATCAAGACAAATCAGAAACAGTTCCACAGACTCAGGAAAACCTCTCAATCGGTCAGTAAAGTGTAGGGAATGTGAAGGATACGGTCACATACAGGCTGAATGTGCAACATATCTCAAAAGGAAAAAAAGGCTATGTCTGTAGCTACTCTTAGTGACGATGAGGAGGAAACTTCAAATGATCAATCAGATGATAATGTGGGAAACTTTGTAGCCTTCTTTACTGCTACAGACCTTCAGTCAGACGGAGATCAATCAGATGGAGAATCATACATATCAACTGATGATTTTGAAGAGAGACATAATCAACTTGAGACAGAATTTGCAAAACTTGTTGCTAGCTGGGAACAACTTGTGAAAGTGAATAAAAATCTGAATGACGAGCTGAAGCAAAGAGATGATCTTCTATAGAAATTAAATGCAGAACTGATCATAAAAGAAGATCTCATCACTCAGATATGGTCCAGAGAAGGAAAATTAATCAAGGAATTGGAGAACTTGAAGAAAAATATCCAGATGATGGACACCACATCTACCTTAGATAAGATTCTAGACTCTGGCAGAAATCCTAATGATAAAAAGGGTCTGGGATTTGAACAAGGAGAATCTTCGAATAACGCAACAAAGT